TAAAAATTAAAGATTATGTAGCTAATTAAACAGCACTAGTGCTTGACGTGGAAAAAATTTTTGGGAAAAGTGGAAATTTATTCGAAATTGAAAGGAATCATATCGACTATGATTAGATATCGTGGACTACAAATTTAACTTATCACTTCACGTTATAAAACCATATCACTGATATCTAGAAACTGAACAAAGGAACTGATAAAAAGGGTTTTTAGTTACAGAAGAGGCAGTGAACTAACTGGCAAAACTTCATTTAAATTATTTTACAAAAACTTTCGAAAAAATATTCAAATTTTGGAAAGAATTTTGCAAATAAATACATTGCTAAAATTATTTACACCGATTTACTTTCCATTTCATATTATCACGAAGTATCTTATATTTTTGCCAAGAAAAAATGGTAAATTTTGAAAAAGAGCAGAAATGAAGTTTGACAGGTCGGATAAATAGTGAATTTCTTCCAGACCTGCGTAAAAAAAAAAACTTCCGAATAGTTTCTTATTTCTTTTTTTGTTTTCTTTTCAACAAGCATTTCCTTAGTTTATATTGAGGAGAAGATGCATACCTTAACTTTGGGGAAAGACAATTGCTATGTCGATATAATGCACTGTTATGACAATGAATCTTCATAAGGTATTCTCTGAAATGCTTGTTTCGCAATTGTCGTAGAATCGTTTGCCTGATTCTATCCTCAAAGGCTTTCTTCATTTTTGTAATCGTCGAATACATTTCCACAACCAAATCTGTTTCTTAATTATGTGATGTAACTTGCAACGTTTACAAGCTCATTAATATCCAAATGAATTATTACTGATAATGCCGGACAGTTTTGCTGAAACATTTATTGTGGCGAAAAAAAAAAGAAATTATCCAGTCTGAACAGTTGAATTGAGTTTGGTTTCTTTATTTAAATTTGATTCGAAATGAACTTTACCCACAAAAAATTTTTAAATATTGGGGCATGAACTGTTTATACTTATAAGGCATCTTTGCATTCGGGATTTTGCATGATAATTAAAGACTGAGCTAACACACATCGGTGATTAATTTGTGAAACTAATGAATGCAAAATGCATGAACTGATGCAAAAAAGTAAAAAAAAACGGCAACAAAACTAATCAATCAAATGTATTTTCCATAGAAAAAGTATCTACTGTTTACCGTTTTGAATAAAAAGGAAGTAAAAATAGGAACGAAAGAATGAATGGTTTTTTTTTGGACCCTCTTCTGGTATAAAGTTCTAATCATTTCTTTATAAAAGCAAAATGACAAACTAATGCAAAGAAGTTTATCTGATAGTATGAGAGCCGAAAAAATATGAGAGCCGTAAAAATGAGAGCCGAAACTGATATTCTTATAATTCCTGCAAAAATTTTAACAAAACAGCAAACTTTGTCACATTTTATTTCCTATCCATTATTTTTCATCTTTTCCCGCCTTTTATCTTTCATCGTTCAAATGGCACAAGGAAGACAATTTACAGAAGTTACTAAGTACAGGATTGGTTGATATATTTATAGTGAATTCTCAAATTTATAACTTCTCAAAAGTACTGTATGATCATAAAAATATTTGTTTGAATGAACCATATCATTGTCGTAGCGTTGAAAAAATTAGAATAGCATTAATGTGTCGTCAAAATTGTAGAGAAGCTTAAAATATCTGTCTCAGTAAAAACTTGAGCTCATCATCTTTTTTTGATATGTAATGAACAATTTATTATATAAATTATTTACTTGACTTTGATGCTTTGTTAATTTCAAACGTAGAAAAAAAACGAAAGTAAGCCTTCATACTTGGGTAACCGCATACTGTCCTATAATTAAAACATGGATAGACTGTTAACAATACACAAAATGGCCTAAATGTTAACTTCCTGTTATATGGGATTTACTTCTTTTTAATATTATAAAATTGAAAGTTCGTAAATTAGCAAGTGCTTTATCGTAACCCTATTGCAAAAAAATGGTACCACAAAATTCAACCAAATATTCCACGTCACTTAATGATAATGTGATAAATTATCACTAAATGAATTATTGAGACTATGTCAACGTTTTTAACTGATCTTTCGTACTGGATGTTCTCCAATAGCTCAATGTAACAACTATTTGATTTTCCCGCCTGCATATTTCACCATAAGAAGGAAGAGAGAAAGAAGTAAATTTGAATTTGAAATCTGACTGCTAAAACCAGTTATACTACCATCATCACCACATAATAACGAAATTATTTTAAAATAGATTATGGTTTGGCTGAAATATGCGCAGTTCACATATCATTAACATATAATAAAGTTTTACACATCTATTCTTATTTTCCACTTTGT